TCCTAAATATCCCTTATCAGTTTCAAGTAGAGACATTGGAGTATCTGCTGACAAAGGAAAATACTATCAGATACATATAATACATATTATATAGATTTATATATATATATATATGATGTACATATACATATATAAGATATAAAAAAGAAAAGCAAGGTATTTTTGCTTCATTTTTTGGACTTTGACACTTATTTTCAATAATATCACAAGGTCAAAAATACATCAATATTCAAAATATATCAATGTACCAAAAGGGAAGAGAAGCATTGGCTCCCGAGGTCTTCCTGCATGACAGCTTATAGGAAGAATCCCAATGAACTTAGTCAACCATGTTACATTTAAAAAGAGAAAATGTCCTTCAAATAGGAGAGACAGAGTCTGACATATACATAACCTTTTTAACAAGGAGCTGTCTTGTTTTTGAAGAAAGACCTTAATTCTCATCTCTAAACAGCCTAAAAAGAAAGGAAGGAAGGAAGGAAGGAAGGAAGGAAGGAAGGAAGAAAGGGGGCAGCCAGGCTAAAATGAGGTGCAGGGAAAGAGATGCAGTAGCTTTGCTTCAATTACCAGCAAATATACGCTTCCAATTGTTCCTTTTAAACTGTTTTCCTTCCTTTCTTATTTTCATAGTTATGACACTTAACTCTGATAGCTATGAAGACAGCAAGCCAGAGCTTTCTTTTTGTTGCTTTACATTTATTAGCAAATGAGGACTAAATGTCAACATATATACCTACATATGAGCAACCGTGCACTTGCGCGCACGCGCGCGCGCGCACACACACACACACACACACACACACTTCACTGCTATGAGTCCAAACCTAAGGTGTTACATTAGGAACATGGAAACACAGCTGAGCAAGACTGCCAAACTTAAGCTGTAGAAGACAACTCAGAAAGCCAGGGAGTCCCATAAGAAGCCATATTGAACAAATCACCTTGGAAGGCAGCTTGAGAGGAACAGTGACATCTCTCCATCTTCACAAAGATTCTCCTCTACTTCTAAATGCTGGTCTTTTGTCACTAAACCATGGCTCAACATTGGACACAGCAGACACCATCACAGGCTGCCATGGCGGTGACAACAGTTAGCTAACCAACCCCCAAGGCAATATCCCAACTCGGAATTTTGTCTTCCTCCGGTGTCTTAAGAGGTCAACTGACTTCTTCCAGCCTCAATTTTCACATGCAAGAAATAGAACTCGGGATACATGTCTGCCTCACTGTGTTCTAAAAACAGAAACTAGCTATGAAAAGGAGGAATGTAAAACGCTATGAAAAGAATAAACTAGATTCTCTGACCTGATTATTGAGGAGAGCCCTGCAGAACTAGAATGACTACTTCTTCCGACTCCATACGTGCCACCTGGCCATCAAGCTGACTGAGCAACCGCAGTCACTGCACAGCTGGGGCTTTGCAGTGACAGAAACAAAGTTTAAGTCACACCGGATTTTCATGTTTCTTAAGTTATAACCTGCTCCGAAATGCAATTTATTGGCATGAAAGTAGATGCAAGGGAGATTATGAATTTTAACCTTAAAACAAATGTTCAAAGACTGATGAGATGGTTCAGTGGGCAAAAGAGATTGCTGCCAATCCGGATAGCCTGAGTTTAGTAACCAACAATCCACACGGTGGAAGGAAAGAACTGACCGAAACCAACTCCCCTATGGCCTCACCATAGCATGTGCACATACATGCACACTGATTAATTAGTAGATATATTTTTAAATGAAATGTTAAAGCCAGTCAGCTGTTAAGTATAGACTATTTGAAACTGATACTCAGGCAAGGTCACCAGAATTGGGAACAAGCTAACCCAGAAACAGACTGAGTCACAAGCGAAGTTTCATCTCATGGGCCAAAACACAATACGTATTATTTTTATATCACCCTGTCTGAGCTGTCTATCTCAGATTCTTAACTTCCAGATTCTGTTTATAAAATCACGAACACTGTGGATTTCCAGTGGCCATCAAGGTACATACTGTCACTCTGACATCAAAGATTGTCAGCAAACTCAACAGGGACACTAATGATCTCAGGCAACAATGCTCATCCGCCTAGCAAAGAGATTTTTATTCCAGAAGTAAAAAATCTAAAGCGTTTGATAAAAAATCACTCTAAAACATAGGATGGTATCAGTAAAGACATTCCGATCACTAATATCTGTTACTTCCTTGAAGGTTGTCTTAGTCATAATTTTAAAACTCAAAACTGTCAGACGTGATAACATTCTTCATTCTCTCCCAAGTTGTCCCTGCTCTATTCTAGTACTGTCAAATTACGATAGCTGCTGTCACTGTTTGTACGCCATGGCTGGCACCCAGTGTACAGATGCCCTTCATCTTAGAATAGTCACCGAGGCCACTAAACTGATGACCGGTATCTTACTTATAGTGATACTGATCCCTTCCCTGAAGGCAGAGCTGGTGGGCTATCATACCTTACTGGCGCTATGGGCAGTATGCTAGTTTTTAAAAGACCATGCATTGTTGTTGTTGTTGTTTTCTTCTTTAAGCTTTATAAAAAGACTCCCCCCCCCCACACACACACACAGATCCCTCTTTCCCACTACAACACGCTGTCTCATCCTATCAGAAAGTTTTCACACTGACTTCCAGCTTTGATACCTTCCAGTCCAAACTTTAATTCCATGTTTGGAAGAATCGGACTTGCACGAAATACACTAGAAGACTATCTTTTAATGCAGAGAACATGTTATTTCCATGTGTCAAAGTCAACGGCGTGTGTAAACGGATAAAGAAGCAAGTGATCTTACATACGAGTGGATTTTCAGGCCGCACATACAAAATGTATTCCAAGTTACAAACATCTGAGGGCACGGTCTCTCTTCTAGTTAGCAAATAAGAGTCTTTCTCGAACTCTGTTTGCGTGGGCCATCTAACATGCTGATATTCTCCCAGATCTCAGAGAGGAAAACTGGGTATCTTCTCCATCTAACACCTAAGTGGGTAACCTAGATACTGCAAAGAGAGGCTACAGAAAGGATGCAACACACAGCTCTGAAGTCTGAGCCAAAATATTTAACCAGCAACTCTAAAAACATGGAAAGCTTAGCCAAAAACTCTACTAACATGGAATTGCCACAGCCTAGTAAATAAAAATAAAAAAAAAAAACTATCAAACTTACGTTTACTGTTGCTGGGTGAGGAAAGATCTAGTGTGAACAGGAAAAAAAAGCAATTCTTATTTGTTCAAACTAATCATTGCCATACTTTGCAATGTTTATTTTACAAAAGAAGAGAGATTCTTCTTTGAATGAAGAAATCAGAAAAGCAGATCCCAAAGCAAAGATTTGCATGCTAATTTTCTGGCAGTTACTAGGGATGGTGACAGATTAGTCTGACCAACAGGACTCTCTCTTTTATATTCTCTATGGTTTTGAAAGTAGCTAAAAATTAACCAGAATCCAGTAGGAACTCCCTATAAATCTAACTTGACCTACTAGACATTTTTATGAAAAAGTTGTTTCTGACAAATAAAAACATATTCTACCAAAGTACTAATAACATTAAATATTAAAGTGCAAAATCTCTATATACTATTACAGGAATATAACTTTTCTCAAATCAATAAGCGAAAAAAAAGAGCGCTACAAGATCCATCACAGGAGAGTAACGATATAATTCACTCAACAACATCATTATTTTTCCCTTCTACAACACAGTGGGATTGCAAAGTCTGCCTCGAGAATGAAATTTTCTGAATAAGCTTTCCTCATTAATAAAAAGAAAGAAAATTCTTAAACAAAGTAAAGTCAAAGAGTTCAATCACAATTTCAAGTCGTTTGCTAGAATTATTTGAAGGTAATGAATGTGCAAAATGTATTCAAGAGGAATTGACAAACTTTTGCTTAGAATTCAGACATCTTCACTAATTATAAAGTTTATAACTTTACAAGAACTTGTCGGGTTAAGGAGAGAACATGAAAGGTGAATTTCTCTCAGATAACCAGAACTGATTTAATATGCTTATAATTAAGTAGGTTATTCAGTTCTCAAATCTTCAAAAAAGAAAAGTCTCCTTCACATATCACCCAAATAGAAAAGTCGTAAATTAAACTAAACTTAATATAAACCATGGCCTTTCTACTTAAGACTGAAACATATACCCCAAGTACAAAGGAAAGGGCCTCTCAAGTTGTTCTGAGAAGGAGTGGCAGACCATTGGCACTTAATTAACTAATCTGATAAAACGTTTTAATTAGGAGGCAAACTACAATCTTAACAAATAAAAGCATCTTGTCCTCAGACACTGACAGCATGCCAACTGCCTTTTGGGTACACCCAACAATGAATATTCCATTCCATATTAGAAGACACTAATATTTGAAAAGAGCCCAAACTGCCATGCCTGCAGACCGAAAACATGCTTTGCAAAAGTCTTCCTTCCTTTCTGGACGATCTAAAACAAGCTGCTTCTGACTTTGCCACAGAAAGGGATGTGAATGAGTTCCACAAAGTGTCAATGACATTGCACTTCTAATCCTCTGGGAGAGAGATTTTTACACTGCCTCATCTCTTTTTAAAAAGCAAGCAACACTTGAGTTCTACCACTGGTGCTTTAGCTTCATACCAAGACAAGAAAAAATTCCTTCTACTTTAGAAAAAAAGAACTATGAAGAAGACTTTGGAAAAACGACACATTCCCATAATTTTTTTATCAAGCAACAACAAAGCTAGGTAAGGACTTGGAAGTCGAAACAATCGTCAGCAAATCCTAACATTTCTTACCTGGCACAGGTAAGCACCAGCTCGCAAACGCCACCTTGGGATAGTTCAGACTAGTAAGTAGGCTCATGGTTTATGATACTAGAACGAACGGAAATAAATCTGAGTTGTTCTTTTCTTAGCAAACGCTACAGCAGTAGCCACACCACAGAGTGAGCAGACCCCACAGACTGGACAAGTTCAAATTTCTCACTTGAGAATTAAAAAAGAAAAAAAAAAAAGAACATAAAACGAAGACTTACTGCTAGTCATGTGACTTGGCGAGGCGTGCTGTCCATTGGGTGTGCTTGAGGTGAGGTCAATGGCCATACTGGCGTGCTCCCCTTCAGGTGAAAGCTCATTGTCACCTGCTTTCAAAAAACACAATCTTTTGGTTTCTGTTCATTGTCACATAACATGTAATTACTCAGACTGCCTCAGATTCAAAGAGCATGCTACATGCAATGCTTAAGAAACATGCATGTCTTTTAAGAGAATCTACAAGGAAATAAAATATACAGTAAATGAATGAAATGAAAAAAACCAAAAACACAACTAGCCCATAATAAAAAAAAATGAACAAACTTTATTATCATAAAACTCCTACAGGTCAATGGGGATAGGAAGTATTTAACATCCAAAATTATCCTAGTGGAAGCAGTATGTTTTTTTCCTTAAGAATCAAATTTAATTCCTCCATATAGAATTCTTAAAGTGAATGGTTTCTAAAATGTTAGCTGGATAGTTCAAAAAGAGTTTGCTTTTAAAAAAAATGTGACTTTAAGAAGCTAATTCTTTCATATTATGTGTCTGGAAAATTAGGCTACCTAGTAGTAAATCTCTAGTACACACCACACCACAAGATATATCTGTAACGGAATGTATTCTAAATTTAAATGCAATGGTAACCAATCAAATAGTAAAGTAAAGCTCTGTAAGCTACAATTATTAAATAATGTTTTTTATTAAATGAGTATATTTCTATGCCCCCTTCTTATTTTGCTTCTGTTAGAACTTCCTCATATTCTTTAATATAAAATGGTGACGAGCAGATAAAATTAGAGAACTCGTACTAAAAGCTCCTGGCTCAGGAATTCACATGCAGGTAACACAAGGCTAACTTTATTACCCACGGCAAATGAATGAAAGTAAATACTCACATGTTAAGTAGCCATCAATAGCCTCTGCTTCCATAGTCAAAGTGCGGTGCTGTGAAACAAAAGATTATGACCTTAACCCAAGGAGTCCTCCTTGGATCTGCCATTAAATTCTTAACTTATTTGAAGCCACAAGCAGTTAGTCCATGTTGCTCCTGCAACCTGTGCCCAAGAAACATACTACAGGGTACTGTGCGTGCTCATTTGCAAGTCATTGAACTCTCTGCAAATGATCTGATTCCTGCTGGAGATAGGATAGGGAAGATTAAGTGTGCTGTGAGATGGGCTGTAGCAAGAAAAGAATGCCTCGCTTAACCAAAATTTACCTGTTTTAGCAGGGGAAAAAAATGCAGAGGGGGTATACCTCAAATCTGCCATCTATCACTGCTATCTAAGTATTTTACCATTCCCTACTTCCCAATCACACTGCTCTTTGAGGACTTCCCTCGCATACAGACAGCTCTATTCACAATTGTTGCAAGTTGGTTCATCATGTTCTAATAGGGAGGGGGAGAACAAACAAACAGAAGAAAACAAAACAAAATAAAACAAAACAAAACTACTCAGTGCTAGATTGTATCTTGAAGACTTGTGCAGCAGTTGGCCAACTCTCCCGGCTTGTATTGACATTTTAGCCTACCCCAAATTCTGCGTAAGCACCTGTTCAGCGTACCCTTAATTTCCTGCCAGACCTCGGCTGGAGACAAACGCCAAGCCTACTTAAGACATTCGGATTTCCAACATTTCAGAAACTTTTGGCTGTGCACGAGGGGATCATTTTCTACCCAAGTATGAGGGAATGGTTTTCAGGCACCAGCAACACAAAACAGAACTTAATCCTCAGAAACAAAAGTAAACTCCAAGAGACGCCAGCCCCTAGCTTTGATTCCATAGTGAAAAGATCGATACTCTAACTGTATTCTTTGAGAGGAAAAGTTAAAGAATTGACAAGTCCTAAAGAGATTTTTTTTTACTTATTTTTTTTTCTTTGGCCCTGGTCCTTTTTGCCTTTAGTTTCAAAACTCTCACAGCACCAGCAGCTAAATTATTCACAATGAGCCATTTCTGTATTGATCGCCAAGTATATTTAGCCCTGGCTCCTGGAATTTCTCCATTACTTACTGGAAAACAGGCAGCTTCACTTCTTGTCTCCAAAACCACTTCCCTTCTCCCTCCCTCCCCTCCACCACCAGCCTCCCTACCCCCCCACCCCAAAAAAACTTTTCTTTCTTTCTTTATGGAATAATCAGATCAAATTCTCACCTTAGTAACTACATAGCAGTTAAAGCTCGACCTGCTCGACTCTTATCAAATTCTTTCAATTATGATTACATAAGGTTTTAAAGAAAGGGATCCATAAAGTTTAAAGGGGAACAGTTTCTACGGAGATCTTACAGATGCGTCTATCTCTTTAAAAATGTACACATTTAACACACACATTAAAGGGAGGCGTCAGTTAGAAGCAAAAGAAGTCTACCCCATCAGTGAAATGGTTATTAAACCCTCAGAGAAGGAAAAGAAAGAAAAAGAAAAAGGAGAAAGAGAAACGAAATGTACATACAAAAGAAATTGTCCTTTGATTAAAAAACATTCATCACCATTTCCAGCTCTGTCGGGAGATCCCAGCTTCTTCTAACCCCTCAAAGAGGAGGTGACAATGTCGGGCTGAAGAGAAACGGAGAAAGAAAGAAAGAAGTTTTTTGTGTCCCCCCCCTCCCCTCCCTGGCCCCCTCCAGGCCAAGCCCCCCGCAGAGTTCAAGGCGAGGAGGAGGGGAAGCACTTTACAGGTGGGTCATTCCAAGCCCGAATCCAGCAAACAGATCGGCTGATAAACAAAACCAAGAAATGAGAGAGAAGGAACACTCCCCCCCACCTCCTCCTCCTTCTCCTCCTCCTTGTCCTCCTCCTCCCCCGCCCCCGCCCCCTCGTCCCTTTGGGATGGTCTAGTAGGAAAAGTCACTCAGGAATGGCACCACGTACTTTCAGGAAAGAGGAAAAAAAAGAGAGAGGGAGGGAGAGAGAGAGAGAGGTCAGTCAGTGCTACAGCAATGCGATTAACAAGAAGAGAAAAAACTTGATCCACCGGTTCCTTAAGAATCGACCAAAAGCTAAGACAAGAAAACTGAAAGAAAAAAGGGGAGGGGGTACGAGGGGAGGGACAGTCAGGCAGAACCCAGCTAGGAACCTAGGCCAACTTCACAGGACTGTTTTGTGGCCTCTGGCGAAATAGAAAAAAAGAAAAAGAAATTAAATCTTCATTCCATCTCTCGCCCATACCAGAACCTGTCAAAGCGATTTAACTGCCGCTTTTATACATGTGTCACCCTGGGTTATTTTTTATTTATTTTTGTTTTGTTTTGTTTTGAATCTCAACAGGATAATACCTTCTATCTAGACAGCTGCAATTTATGCCAGGCTATCCAAGCTTTCCTCTTGGAATTCAAGTTAAAACAAAGCAAAAACAAGTCCAAATCCGTGACAGCTATAGAGATGAGAACTGATGAATCCATTAACACCCCAGAAGCAGATTACAAGAAGGGGACGATACATTAAGGACATCATCTTCAACCAGATTCCCTGTGCGTCCTTTACAGAAAGCATTACCCTAATCAAAGCCACAACCCATCCCTCCCCAAAGAAAAGCGCCTATCTTATTATTATTATTACTGGTTAACAGCAACAAGTCATTCGATCACACCACACTGCTAAACAAGATTCCACATAATTACACTTAACTTTGAAAACACTCCCCCCTTTGCAAACCATACACAAATTGATATATAATCTATCAATCAGAAGACAAATAAAACAAGAGCGGTTCTTCCCCACGCAAAAAGCCAAGCGGAGATTTACCTCAGCAGTGCATGCAGTAAAATAATCCCATCACCCTTTTGTTTGTGTTTACTGTTAGTGTGTCCTCTCCCTCTCTCTTTCTTTCTTTCCTGTGCCTAACGTGTGTTTGTGCACTGCAGTTGGTGGTGGAAACTAAGGCAGTGGATCTGTAGCTAAGGGTAATCCTGTTTTTACTTCCTCCATCTTCAGCGAGGAGCAGGGTTAGCCCGGGACAGCTGGTCAAACCCCGAGAAACCGATCCGGCGGAGCCCGAGCACATCTCCCCCGCCGGCCGGGCTCGCGCAGACACCCGCGGGCGGAGGGCAGGCAGCGGAGGTGGCGGCGGCAGCGGCGGCGGCGGAGGCGGCGGCGGGGACGGGGACGCGCGCCGGCTGGCGGGGGCGCGCGTGCGCGGACGAGGGGAACGGGGGGGGGGGGGGTTCGTGCGCGAGCGCCCGGGTCCGTGAAAGCCGAGCGAGCGCGCGGGCGGGAGGGGCGGTTGCGCGGGTCTGCGCGCTCGGCCGCTCGCTCGGCGCGCTCGGCAATCGATTACAGGACAAGTGCCGCGCGGTTCCGCGCCTCCTCCTCCTCCGCGCCCCGCGCGCCCCCCGCGCCGGCTCCGCCCCGCTCCCCGCTCCGTGCTTCCCCGCTCCCCCGCGCCCCGCTCGCTCACGTTCTCCGCTGGCCGCGCGGGAGGCACGATCGCGGGTTCCCCCGGCTCATTTCGGCCGCGGGAAGTTTTCTCCTCGGCCCGCCGCCTCCCGGACGCAGTCTGGAGGACCCGGGACACGGAGCCCGGCGGAAGGGCCCTCGCGAGTGCGCTTGGAGAGCGGCTGTCCCCATTGTGAAAGTGCTTTCCAGTGCAAGTTTAAAATTAGAGTGTTTACTTGCCGTTTATATCCAATCCCGTCTCGGCGTGCGCCACAGCCACCCGAGTCAAAGGAACCTTGAGAGTTCGAAAAGTTGTTAGCCTGGGAGTGTTGCCTAGCCTCATGTCAATCACGACGTTTGCGTTTGGGATGGGAGGTGGGGGTGGATGGGAAAGTATAGGAATCGTCCTGAGTTAAACAAATGCGTGTTCAGTCTACAAATAGCAGCATTTTCTATCTTTCTTAGACCACAGAAAAGGGAATAGAGACTTCTATAATTAAAGGGAAAAGGAAAATGAAAGGAGCTGAAAATACTGAACTGTGTAGTCTGGGTGGGTTAAGTTTGAAAACACATGAAATTATCAGGACTGCCAAACAGCATTTCTGAGAAACCGTATCGCAAATTGTGTAGAAAATCAATGCTGAAAGAGGAGCAGGCGCTGTGCCTCCCACTCCTTTAAAGAATCCCAGAAATAGTTGCTGAGAGTTTTCTCCCTTCCCCCCTTTCCGCTGAAGCAAGCGATATGACACATTGAAAATAAAATCAGCTTTCATCTGAAGCACCACTCTGCCCTGAGCTTGGATTTCGGTGTGAGCAAAGGATTCATTCACAGTGGTACACAGTGGATACCCTAATAATGTCTAATATGTTTATTTTTACTTTTTAAAAGCTTTTTCCTTGCATTGCAGTTATTAAGTAACAGTATTTGTAGACTCAGTTCATTTTTATTTTTTTAAGTTAGGGCAAATGATGAAATAAAGCAAACAAGATACAATATTTTATTGAAAAGAAATCACTTGTTCTTGTCCTCAGGTTTTCAAATGTTTCTGATTTTTTAAAAAAAAAAGTTGCAATATCTGTGGCATTGTTAAAATTAAATCTTTAACCTATTTCTCGACTCCTTCAATAAATGTTTTCCCCTAAAGTAAGATTTGGAAAGGCCAAACTAAACAGAACCTAGGAGTCAATCAATTCATTAGGCAGCAAATCCAGAAAATTGGAATGTATGACTGTATAGTATATAAAGGGTAACATACTATAAAGAAAATTATATGTATAAAGAACTGAAAGATGCCCTCTAAACGTTCCTTCTCTCCTGAAGCAGGTTTCAATGCTCTGTGGTCCTCAGAAAGGTGAAAACATTCAGGACTGAAAGGCGATATCTTCATAGTTAAAAGCAACAGTCTTCATCAGCAGGAGAAAATCCATGATGAAATCAGGAGGATCCGTGGTCAAAAGAGCTAACTGACACAGTCCTCGCCCCTAACTGACTATGGCTTAATTTAGAGACTTCCAAACTTACCCCGTTAATGAGCTGCTGTCATTGGCTCCCTAGTCACCAGAGGCACACCTTCTCCCTCTAGTGGTTAGACTTTTAGGCGGCTCACTAGCAGTCACAGGCTTCCCCAAGAGTGAGATAATTAGGCAGGGACTAATTAGGAAGCACAAATTTTAGGGGGCCAAAATTCTGAAGTGTGAGAATTAGGCCATCTTTTTAACATCCCATGTTTCTTTCTCATTTGCAGGCCAAGATGAACTCAACTGGTCTGAAGAAGTCATGAACGTGTTTACAAACTAAATGGGGTGGTTTTGTGCTTTGCCTTTGAAGTCGGTGTTCAGACTCACAATGAAATTCATTCATGAAAAAGTAACCGTATATAAACTGTAGCAATTGGCTTTGTGCAAGATCTCCCTCCATGATATTTTGATAGTGGTTGAAGAATGGATTTCCTTGTGTCCTTGGCCATAGCTACACTGTATTGTATTTGTTAGACAGCTATATACTTGAACTGTGTAGAAAAAGCTACCACCAGGAGAAGAGAGTTCACTTTATCTTGCTGGAAAATAAGATGTTCAGTTCGGAGAAGGTATGACAACGGAGCAAAACATCCCTTTCCTCTGCCGTTTCTCACACCGCCGTTCCCTTCTCATCTTTTCTGTTCGAGCTGTGGAAGCTGATCCTTGTAGTGAGCATCGTTCTAGAACCTGGCATATGTCCTGTACAGGACACTTGTGGATATTCTATCCATGTGTTGATTCTTTAACATAAAACTTAACTCCACAGCTAGAATTCACTCTTGAACTTTATTTGTTTGACTGGTCTGGTTTTTTGAGACAGGGTTTCTCTGTGCTGCCCTGACTCTCCTGGAACTCACTCTGTAGACCAGGCTGGTCCCGCACTCAGAAATCCACTTGTCTCTCTGGAGTGCTGGGATTAAAAGCATGCACTACCACCACTCAGCTAGAGTTCACTCTTGTAATGATCAGAGATTGTGTTTTATGAGTTCACTGTTTGGCACTCCGTTGATATTAAACACTAATGAATGAATGAATGAATAAAGAAGTACATATCTCCTTCCATGTGTTAAGCTATTGTCAAGAAACACACATAACAAGGATAAATTCTGATTCCTTAATGAGATGGGACAGCTCTTAGCTGGTAAGTCAGGTTACAGGTGTCCTTAGCATGTTAGTTCCCCCATATCTACATGAAGGATATTGATGTCTTTGTAGATATTATCAAATACATTACACAGGTATCAATTGCAAAGGGGGCTAAATTGCATGCAAAATGCAAAATTCTGTATAAATGTAGTGGTGATTGAAATTCAGTTCTACGATTCCTCAACTTCATAACAAATTATTACTGGTTGCCTGACAATTCAGGAAACGGGGTGACTAGCCATTGCAGCCCATTTAATTTTATAACCACTAAGTGCAATTAGTAAGAGAAACATTTTACAAGGCAGTGTGTCTAAAATGCGAATTATAAAATATGACCACTTTTTTTTCTCTTGAATTGTTTCATGTTAACTGTTTTAGTTTTACAGACAATTCCCATTAAAGGAACGAAGATAAAAATCTCACATTTTATTGTTTTGTTCAAGGGATTAATTCTACATTTTTCAGTTTTGGCTTTGTTTTCAGTATGTGAGATAGGAGGACAAATTAGATCGTTGTGATTCTTCCGTATTCTTCTTTATTTCTTTCTTTATTTATTTATTAAAGATTTCTGTCTCTTCCCCACCACCGCCTCCCATTTCCCTTCCTCTCCCCCAATCAAGTCCCCCTCCCTCGTCAGCCCAAGGAGCAATCAGGGTTCCCTGCCCTCTGGGAAGTCCAAGGATCACCCACCTCCTTCCAGGTCTAGTTAGGTGAGCATCCAAACTGCCTAGGCTCCCACAAAGCTAGTATGTGCAGTAGGATCAGAAACCCAGTGCCATTGTTCTTGAGTTCTCAGTAGTCCTCATTGTCCGCTATGTTCAGTGAGTCCGGTTTTATCTCATGCTTTTTCAGACCCAGGCCAGCTGGCCTTAGTATCAAAGAAGAATTTCCTAAAACTACATTGCATTATGTTTGACGGCTTTCTCATGCTTGCTGCAACAGTTCGACAAAGTACATGTTGGAGCATTGCCTCTAGAAAAATGGAACTTAAAATGCACACATAGATAGCTACTGTTAATATTATCTTTTTAAGCAGGAGAATGGATGATGCTGTCTTGTTCTCTCCACTTAGCTGGACACTGAAGGAGTGGGAAGCCAGAGACTGGGGATGCTTTCTTTAAAACTCTGATTTTGTTTCTGGCTTCCCAAGTTTCAATGAAAGCATTCTAAGATCCCAAATCCAGTGCCTAAGTCAACATATTTGTACCTCCCAGCTTGGCCTCGCAAGGTATAGGAAGAGTCTTGGGTCTGGCTGCTTGATCTGTGAGGCTTAAATCAGGAAGCTCTTCCCACCCTCTCTACCTTAAACACTGTTCCTTTAATAGTCTTCAAGAGTGTTAGTTTGTAGTTAGAGATAAGATTCTCTTGCAAATATCCATGTCCCTAGAAGAGATAACACAATTGCATTTATACCTTGAAATGTTGTTTTCTTCTAGGAAGCATTTTCCTGGCAGAACAGGTGGATGAAGAACTATGACCATGGCAGATGAGAGTTGCAAGCTGGGTGATAAGCAAGGGAAGTGAAAAATTTGCAGGTTTCAGAATACAAATGACAGCATGTATTTTTAAAGATGTCGTTAAAATCCATCATAATTGCTTTTAAAATGCAAAAGTTTGGATTTGAAAAAAAGAAACGGCCTTCTATCTGTACAAAAATGGAATTTCAAGCCACAGGAAGGGGCACTGTGTAATACCAACCCTGTCTGAATGCCATCGGAGAGACATTCTAGGAAACCTAAACGTTAGCACACAACAAGTACAGGAAAGATTTTGGAGTGCCCGATAAAGTATTGGCACGAGGAAACAAAAGCATCAATTCTCTAGAAGCCTATCTTGTAAATAGGGGATAACAATAAAACGGAAAAAGAAAGTCTAGTGAACACGACATTAATTGCATTAGACATAG